CTATCACAGAGATCTCCGTTGACTTTCACTTCTTGACATTTAAAGGAATGTAGCAATTTCGGATCTTTCATCCATTGTTGAATAGATACAACTTCAATAGGTTCTTCACTTTCATTATTTGTCATTGTCATATCTGTGACATATAATAATTAAATATAATAGGTATATGACTTTATGTCAAAATCCATTATTGCTATAGAAAAATCACAATTTATTTTTATAACAAACATTATTGCTATAGAAAAATCACAATTTATTTTTATAACAAACAAAGCCCAATAAAAGAGAATCTATTCCATGACCGAATTTAGCCGACTATCCATCCGCGAACTTATACAATACTCTCTAATATAAACATTCGTTTAAATCATGAATTCGAGGAATATCTCAAATCAAATAAGAACGTACCCAATTCTTGATCATCATCTATACTAAATACTGGGGCCGTCTTTTTCTGTCGTTTAACAAAATCCAAGTCCTTGCCGTTTCTGTTTTCTATATTATTATGCACACTTGCTGACGGATTAACAATATAATCGAATAATTTTACCTTTACTTTTTTTATTTTTCCGAAGAAATCGGAATTATTATTTTTAACCTTGGCAGGACTTGCTTCGTTCGAATTTGTCTCTGAAATATTAGCACTGCATACTAAACAATGCTGTGAATTATGATCAACAAGACTAGAAACGACTTCGTCACCAAAATATTCATGTATAGCTGCAATGAAATGCTCTCGTAATATAATTATATTGCATTAAATTTTTTAAATGAATAAATATAATAATTACCTTGATATCCTGATGTAACCATACTAACATATTGAGTATGTTTCTGTAGAAAAGATGCAACTACCATATGCGTATAACGATCTTCCTCTTGTCTACCGCTTCCTAAAAAGCAAAGGTGTTCACCACCAGCTTGCGATCCAACAGCTAATGCTTGTCGTTGTGCTTGCAACAATCCTTGTACTGCTGTTGCGAAAGCAGCAGGTTCTTGTAACATCTAAAATGGCATTTATTATAAAAAAAACTTTGATAAATAAGAAAACGCTAAAAACAACATACCAAATCACAATCTAAATGAAATGCAGTTGGTAGGTGTCCTGCATTATACTGTTCAGCAGGTCTACAGTCTACCAAAAAGAACTTAACAGATTCAACCGAGGTGTTAGCCATGGACGGACTCTCGATGGAATTTTCAACTAATTCTTGGGCCGATACAGGCAAACAAAGTACATGTGATATACATTTTTCATCAAAACCATCGCCAAACATAATAGGATATAAATCTTGTTTAAAGGATGATGGCGTTTTCATTGCATAATATTGTGCCAATGAGCAAAAGTCTGTCACATCTTCTGCTTCCAATGCACATGGCATAGCAGCAATTGCATCTATTATATTTTGTTTATCATTATCTTTCATACTTAAGATTTGCTCCCTGTAAGATGTAATACAATAAATATTAGTTGTAATACAATAATTATTTCAATAACTTTACTAAATAGTAATATTTTTGTAATTCTCTTACCTGGCATTTATCACCATAATAAGTGAAAGAAATAACATAAAAAATGGATCAGCTTGCATGAAATATAGATCCCACATTGTACAAACAGCTGGTAGCGAACATACACCAGCAAACAAAGTAGTTACCCATCCTTTTGTATATTGATCAGGAGACACTCTTTTTGTATCCAAGAAAGAACATAGTTCTGGTTCATGATAGAGTAGTAATAATCTTAATACAGAGCTATATGTTTCACCTCTGAAAATACATAAAATATAAGAGGTAAGGAAAATATTTAGTACAAAGTACAAAGAATTAATCATAAAATACTATACCTAGGAATATAAAAGTCTATTATTTCTTCAAATAAATTATATGTTGCACTTCGTGGGAGTTTTAAAGCTATTAAAGGACCTAATAATTCTATCCAACCATTTCCTCTTTTATACTGTTTCCCTTTACTCTTACAATAAAATGTTAAAATAGATTCTAAATCGGAAACAACAGAAACTTTATCTTCATCATCGTTTCCCAATTTTTCTGCAAAAGAAATATATTCCATAATAAAAAAGATACTTATGTATATAAATAAAGCATATAATGTGTACTCGACTAACTTACCAACTAATTGTTGACAATCATCGCGTATAATATTTTGTTCTGGTAAATCAAAAACTTCATTGAACTGACTTAACTGATTACCCCGGTCGATAACATCTAAACAAGCTTGCCACACATCAGGTCTTAAATTCGTAGGAACAGCTTGTCCTTTACAAATTGCGTATATATCAGATGCCGATGGAGCTTGTGTATCAAGAAGGGCTGCTTCTAACTCTAATATCCTGAATGATCATTTTATATTAATCTATTTATTATAATAAATATATTTATATAAATATAATAATATAAATATAATAAATAAATCAATAAATGATGCAATTATTATAACAATTGTTTATATATATAACAATTGTTTATATGAATACTTTCATAATGTAATTAATAAACATCTGCAAATATACGAACAAGCTTTAAAAAAAACATAATACTTAAATATCTGCTGTACTTTTTTTTTTAACCAAGGATTAAAAAAAAATTTATAATGAATAACATAAAATTTGTATGATACGTAGATTTATTTGTTATTAATTTCTTAATATTGTTTTGTAATATTTGAGAAAGAGAAAAATAATGTCGTAAAACGACAATCAACATTAAATCGTAAAAAATATTTTGGAATATTTCGTCGATAAGACGAACGATTAAAATCCGTGTTTACCGAAATAAAGAGTCCTCTTTGTTTGGAAAATGCATTGAAATTTGAAAATTAACTCACCAGGTGTTTTCATCTTCTTGTAGTGCCATTTTTAGTAAACGTCACACTTGTATCGAAGTGTGCGAAATCGTGAATTCGATATAAGTTATAATTTCTTAAAAGACAATGAAATTCTTCTATCAGTTATCATCCTTCGTTGAACTTCGTAACTTTCATTACATTTCTCGTAATTCACGTTTTCTTTAAAATTCGACAATCTATAGATAACATAGACGAAACTTAGTTCCTGTTGACAAATCGTTGCCATCTTTTAGATAAAAATTTTTATATATATGCAACAAAACGCGCGAATATCAAATCATGCTATTTCATGTATACTAGAACAAAATTTATATAGTAGTAAATTAAACAATATAATACATTTTTTATTAAATAAATTTATTTACAATACAAGGCAAAATTTTAAATATTTTTTTAAGACATGATACATATGATTATTGACTACACACGGAATATGCATCAAATGAAACTTCGAGGTATATAACCTCGTCTGTGATATGGATATAAAGCGTTTAGTTCTACCATTTTTCTACAACGTGGCATTAGTGTTTGCAATTCCCTTTAAACCAGATGTTTTCATCTGTGAAAAAAATTAATGTAGAGAATTGAATTGTAAACTTTCTGAAGTAATTGCATTTCCTCAATTAGATTCTTAGCTTTCTTTTTATGTCCTTTTCTCATCGTTGCATAAATAAATATTTTAAAAATTAATTAGTACCAACATATCTTTAATCTATACTTGAGATTCAAATGCCAGGAATTTCACTTTGTCAGCAACTGTTCTATCTAGTAAATTATCCTAGTCAAAAACAGTTGTCTCCTAAAGTTATAACATATGTATTCTTCAGAAAAAAAAGATGATAAAAATATATTACTTTTCCAACACCTCCTCTAACCGATCTTTCGTTTTACTGATTTTTTCTTTATCCTATCTTTAGTCGTTACTAATAGCTTTAAATCTATTGCACCATCTTTTTTTTTTATCAAAGGTTATTCTCTTTTCAACAATTTCACATTTCTGTCTATCCTCGGAGGTTTTCCATGGTTTTCCATCGAACTTTGATAATTTAACATTGTATATCAACCTTAATATATCACAGTATCGTATTATAGTCATGTGACCGTTGATAAGATTAAACGCTAAATTCAGACAGCGGTGAAAATGTGTACTAAACGATTCGTTTCTTCAAGGATTCGTCTGCAAGTGCCTATAGCGAGCTTCCCGCATGGTCGCTCGACATTTTCTGTTAGTTTTCGCTGTTCGTTTCCACATCAGTGAGATTAGAAGAAAAGTGTGAAGCCGTGAGAAGTCGTTGACACTTAGGAACAGCGAAAAATTTACGACGAAATGACGGGGGCAAGTGGCGCGAGCGTGGCCGGTAGTCCATTACCAAAATGGCAACTCGCTTTGGCTGTTGCAGCGCCGGTTGCTTTGGGGCTTGGTTACATGTATTTTAAAAATTCTAAACCGTCATCGAAGCCTAGCCGCGGCAAATCGAAGAACAACTTGAAGAAAAACGGTGCCGTAGCTGCCGATAAACAAATATCAATCGACATCGACAGTCCACCGAAAAGTACTACAGAGCCAGAGGTTAGAAACATTTTGATCATTACATTTTCATTTCTCTTTTTCTCTTTTTTTTGTTCAATGAACTACGAGTGTTTATAGGGACTTTAAATATGTAAAAACATAAGATCAATATGCTTGATACTTAGTAGTTAGAAGATTGATTTTTACTTGAATTCAACCTTTTTATAAGCATGTGAAAAGTGTGTAGTATCCAATGTTTATGAAAACTGAAAATTTGAACAGACTATTTATCAGTAACAGTTTATTAATAATGTACTGTTTTCATATTGATTTTTTATCGATTAATTTTTTTTATCATGAAATCACTAATAAGGACTTATAAAAACTGAACATCAGTATTATTTGCATTTCATATTTTCGGTATACCAAATAAGGATATATCATTATAGACTCCATTGAAGAAAGCTCAGAGATTAAAAAATGAAGGGAACGAGCAGTTTAAAATAGGAAAATATGATGAAGCAATAAGTCATTACAATAGTGCGATTGAAGCATGTCCTAAAGAAAACACAGAAGCTCTTGCTACTTTTTATCAAAACAGAGCAGCTGCCTATGAACAACTGGTAACAAATTATTCACAGATGTTTTACAGTAATGACATTTGACAGGATAAATTATTAGTTTAAATTATATATTATAATAATATATTATAGAAAAAATATAGTAGTGTGAAAGCAGATTGTACAAAAGCCTTAGAATTAAATCCAAGGTATGTAAAAGCACTATTACGTCGAGCAAGAGCAATGGAACACTGTAATGAATTAGAATCAGCTTTAGAAGATGTCACTGCTGCTTGTATTTTGGAAAATTTTTCAAATCAAAATGCAATGTTAATGGCAGATAGGGTTCTAAAACAATTAGGTAAATTGTGCATGTAATATATATAGTTTGATTTAATTAAAATATAAATTTAATAAATATAAATTTAATACTTTTTTTCAGGTAGACAACATGCAACAGAATATTTGGCAAATAAAAAATTAGTTATGCCTAGTAAATATTTCATCAAAACATATATTATTACTTTCCATAAAGATCCTGTCTTTTCAATGCTTCAAGATATTGATTATAGTAACGTATCACTGTAAGTATACGCACTACTTTTAATTTTATTTTTTTAAATTATTATTAATTTATATAATTAACATGTTATATATTTTGTTTATATGTTATATTTTAGGGGCTTTGCAAAAGCTTTACAATGTGTAAAAGAACAGAAGTATGATGATGTAATACCAATTTGTACTGAAGAAATCAATAGTTCTGATCCAGATACATTGCCACATAAAATGAAAGTTTTACTGTTACGGGCTACATTTTATCTGTTATTAGGACAACATGATTCTTCAATCCAAGACTTTGGAACTATTATAGATAATGACAGTGTTCCAGAAGCTATAAAAGTGAATGCCTTAATAAAGAGAGCTACCTTATTTATGCAATTAGAAAATCCAGACAAGAGTTTCTGTGATTTTGAAACTGCTGCTGAACTTGATCCTGAATGTGGAGATGTTTATCATCATAGAGGACATGTACCAATTTTTATAATTTTCTATTAAATATTTAAAAATTCTTTTAAATATAATTAATTAAATGAAACAAAATATAAAATTATAAATATGATAGTATTACTGTTATATTGCAATATAATTAATAAAAGTATATTATACGATTATAGGTAAATTTGCTTATGGATAAGATAGATGAAGCCAGAGAAGATTTCAGAAAAGCTGTTGAACTCAATCCTAACTTTGGAGTAGCATATGTACAAAAATGTTATGCAGATTATCGATATGGTACAATGATAAGAAGTAAAGAAATAATAGAGAAAGCCATGAAAAATTTTGAAGCTGCTTTTGAAAAATTCCCAGATTGTCCAGAATGTTATACTTTATATGCACAGGTATAAACAAATATTTTGAATATTTCAAAATCAATATTAAGTAATATCTAAATTTACTGTATTATGTCATGTATTTTATGGTATAGATGTTAACGGAAATACAAGAATATCAGAAAGCAGACACCTACTTTGCTAAAGCAATTGAGAAAGATCCAAATAACGCTACAGTCTATGTACATAGAGGTTTATTGCAACTGCAATGGTATGGTAATGTTGAAAAAGCTATTGAATATATTAATAAAGCATTGGAGATGGATGATAAATGTGAATATGGATATGAAACTTTAGGAACGATCGAAGTTCAAAGGTAAATTGAGATTTTTGAATGTATATACCTCTCAGGAAAATAAGCGTAAAGAATAGACTTTTTATATATCATTTTCTTAACAGAGGAAACGTAGAAGAAGCGATAAAACTATTTGACAAGGCCTTAGCATTAGGTCGCACGTCTATGGAACTTTCACATCTATTCAGTTTGAGAGATGCCGCAAAAACACGACTTACAATAAAAGAAAGATTAGGTTTGGATGTAATGTTGAATTTTCAGAATATTTCATAAGTTTTTATGGAATTATACTGATTAAAATTGAAATTTCAAATTAAAAATACACGTGGTTACCAGAATTAAAGAGTTTTCATAATAAAGTTTCATATATATGTAAAACATGAACATAATTTTGTACAGGGTTTTAATAGAAGTTCTGCAATAATAGAATTATTGATTGCTTTTGCAACTACACACATGTGTACTCGTTCCTCTTATTCAATACTTTTACAAGTTCAAACATACTTCTTTTATGAACAAAATCTCAAGTACGTAATGTTTTTGCCGATAGTTTCTGTAATCAAGACTTTTAAAAGTTGCATTTATGAAATATTTAGTTTTTTTTTATTAGATTTAAGATCTTGCAAAAAACAAAATGCCTATTATCACTATAATTGTTGATCTAAAATTTTTATAAAAAAAGTTGTACTCTATTTGCATTGTTATACAAATTTGCCGCAATTAGCTTTAAATTACTTAAGTATTCTAAAAATTCTTTGCTGTATTTGGAAAAATATATTTTAAAATATATATATATTATATATAAATATATTATATATAATATATATTATATATATATATATACATAAAATTTTCCAAATACAGCAAAGAATATATATATATATATGAATGTTGCTGATAAAAAATAATTGGAAATATGCATAATTTAATAATAATTTATAGTAGTTTGTCAACTAATCATGAGTCCAAAATTGTATTTTGTATTATTTTGTGTATAAAGCTTATAAAATTGTGTATAAAGCTTATAAAATTTTTAATCCATTATGTATAATTTATATATAAAACTGTCAATGTTATTATGTGTTATATTATTTTCCAAATATTATGAACTTCATTTCATCATTTAATCCAAACTTCCAATGCACTGTGATATTTATAATTGAAAATTATTAAATTTTACAAACAGTAAAGGAACATGTTTTATTTCCTGATAATAATAAACAAAATAATATTCTCATAATTGCGAAATAACCGCTATATAAACCGTCAATAAATGCAAGCATAAAAGTACATTTATATTGAAAGATTATTATACAATTATCCAGAAGGTCTCATTTCAAATTGATTTACACTATTATCATTATCATTATTATTATTATTCGTAGCAAAAAATGTTTAGATAAAAATTGAATCACCTCGAAAGAAGCTATTTTATTATTAGTTTTCTGTAGACAGATACGTATAAAGATCAACTTTATAAATATTTTTACTAATAATAATAGTAAATCATGATATAAATTTCAGGTGAAATACTTTCTACATTTCATTATAAAACAATATATAAAGTATAAAATTCTACAGTTTTTGAACATATGCTTTTTCAAACTTCGTAGAATATTGAAGCAAGAGGATATCTAATGAGAAATGCCAATGAACTGCTAACAATCTGAAACATTAAAAATTTTTAACACATTAGAATATGTAAATATCGAAAAGCATGTTAGAAATTATTTTTTTTATATTTAATCGTGATATTAATACCTGAATTAGCAACAAAACTAATGTAAGTGTAGGTTCTTTCATTGGACCAATCTTAATAAGCACAAAGTTAATTAGTGTAAAATTATTGCAAGTAACAATACCATGGTCATCTTCTTGCCAATGTATTATATTTAATTTTCTAAATATCCATGCTATGAATTTACCTATCAAGAGAGTTTATTTAATTTCAAATTACATTAACATATACATATATATTTTTTCGTACCTAAAGAGCCAATATCTTTTTTATTAAATACTGTAGTACTAATTTGTAACTTATCAGTTTTTTTATTGTATCTGCAAATAAATTGCGCGTGTAATTTCTCATATACATAATATACAAATAATACGAAAAGTAATGATTTCTTTGACTTACTTTGGTAGTCTATGTCTAGGACATGGTATAAAATGAAATAATTGCGGTACACTATAAAGAAAATTAATTATTTGTGGAATGAAAAATAATAAAATTGTTTTACTGAAATGTCCGATGATACCAACAACGGCAAACGTCATTCCAGATAAATAACAAAAAGTATCGCCCACAAATACCTCTGCTGGATACCTTAAAAAAACAGTAATATCTTTAAAAAATTTTTACCAATTTTATTTACTTAAAATTTACTATTTAATGCTGATTTAGAACACATTTAAATTAAAAGAAAAAAATATTTTAGTAGTATTTTAAATAATTATTCATATTTCTCTTTTAAAAAAGAAAAAATAATTGAAAAATTAAATACGAAATAAATTCTATAATATGTCTATAGATGATTTAAATTCTAAAATTGTAAATTTTTAAAATATTTAAAATTAATTAAACATTATTCAAAGAAATTAAATAA